TGACACTTTATAAAATGTGATTAAAAATTAAAGTAATAAATGAAACTAAACTTCTAATTGAGATGTAATGTTAAACCCTGTATTATACTGAAATCACTAGAGATTTTAGAATTTAAAAGTTATTCAAATTGTACTTTACTTAAGCAATTAGTCCTCAAAGATGAAAAATACAGAAAAAAGACTTTTAAACAAAATATAACCACATTAGACAGAAGGGCAAGGAGCAAATTGTAGATTTTAAAGACATCCGGAAATTCACTATACTTCTAAGGATAATAAAACTCAGAGAAACAGATACTGTTTAAAGGTAATTAATGTACAGAAAAATAAAAAAAACTGATAATACCAGATAACTGTCACAGAAATAAGAAAGCACCACACTACTATGTATGTGTGCTTACTACCACTATTTCAGTACTTACTGTTTGAATGAAATGAGACAGGTATAAGGGTTTTTACATTTGCCAGCTTAACTCTGGATTATACGTCTCACGCTTTGGTCATACCAAATACACTTTATGTATTTTTTAAAGTCACTTCAAACCTGATTTTCTAGGGAACTTTTTAAAAAATTTAAAACCATTAGGTTAGAAAAGCAAGCAGTAAGAAGGGAAATACAAATTAAGAAAATAGGCTATTTGGTGAAATATTCTGGATCTGAATGTACATATACTTATATTAAAGATGAATTCATCTTTAATATAAATATGTATAAACATGGAAACAAAAAACAGTGGTCACCTGTGCCATCCTCTGTGCTAGGTGTTCTCATATCATAATATTAAACACTGCGGACTACCACTTTGTTAATATGCATTATTATTTGGATTGTGAAACCTAAGTCACCCAACTTAAGTGAGGCTATACTATCAAAGAGACAACAGTAATAGTACAATTGCTACTGACAGAGAGGCTGCAGAACAGTGTTTGCAGCCTTAACCCAAAAGAATGAAGCCTCTACACACATCAGGCCGTGTGACAGTAAATAGTCAGCTGTCCTTCACAAAACTTCTGAGTGCAAACCAATCAAGCCAGATCAAAAGCACCAAATTGAGTCCAACAAAAAGTACCCTCCAACGAAAGGTTTCAAACTTTTCATTTCAAAGGTATAACATAATTCTTCCCTGACAGAAGAAAAAATGCAAATTTATTTACCCTCACCCCCAACCCCAGGATAATGGCTAGATAAAAGAATAGAGGAAGTAGAGACAGGCAGATGAGAAGCACAATTTCTCTTCCATTCCATATCATAATTAAAAATAGTTTAATTAAAAATCACTGTTCAGTGAAAGGAAAGCACACTCACAATTATTAACAACCACACCTAAAACGAAAGCAAACTAAAAGGACAGCTAGATCAGGAGTGGAAACATAGAAATGAAGATCTCAAGGAGGGTTAGCAACAGGGGAGTGGGAGGAGGAGAAGGGGGGAGAAGGTACAGAAAATAAGTAGCATAGACAGTAGATAGAAAATAGATGGGGGGGGGCAAGAATAGTATGGGAAATATAGAATCTAAAGGACTTGAGACACATGGTCATGAACTAAAGGGGGGTAATGGTGGGGACGGGGGGTAGGGTGAATGAAGGGGGGAATAGAACAACTGTAATGGCATAATCAATAAAATAAATAAATTTTTAAAAAAATCACTGTTCAGTACAAAGGGCAACCTTGCATGTGGATCCACTTTAGAATCATTTAGTAAGCAATGATAAAATCAAAGCCAAAACCAAAATCTACAATTTTCTAAAAATACTAATTTTTTTCCTTTGGTATATCAATAAAAAATATGCACAGCTCAATTCTTTATGTTCTTTCACATCATAAAACTAATTGACAGGGGTGAAGTGCTAATCACTTGCATATAGAAAATTTATATAGACTTATAGATATTAAGAGAATACTCCACCCAAAAACAACAGAATACACATTCTTTTCAAGTGTACACAAAACAGTTTCCAAAACAGACCACATCAGATGTCAAAACAAACCCCAATAAATTAAAGAATAAAATCATACCATCATTTTCTCTGATCACAGTAGTAGGAAATGAAATCAATTACTGAAGAAAACTGAAAAAAACAAAAGGACACAGAGGCTACACAACTACTACATGGAGACAGCACATGCTACTAAACAATCAGTAGACTAATAAACAAATCAAAAAGGAAATTTAAAATACTGTGATCAAATAAAAAAAAACACAATGATCAGACTTCCGCCAAGATGGAGGTATAGGTGGATGTGCCGTGCCTTCTCACACAACCAAGATTAGAGAAAACTAAATATTAGCAACAGAAAACACAACCAGAACACGGAAAATTGAACTTTTCGGAAGTCCGTTAACAACAAATTCTTCAGCCTGACCGGTAAGGGGCGAAACCAGCGGCTGGCGGAGCGGGATTGCACAGGAGGGCTCGGTCAGACGGGCTCAGGCGCGGAATCGCGCATTTGTGCGAGGGTGGACAGGCGAGGGAGTGGGCGGTTGGCCGGCAGGTCCCCACGGCAGGCAGCAGTGGAGGGTGCCGCCATTTCCCTGCTCTGACCCCACCTCCACATACAGCGTCATAACCCAGCGACTCTGAGTGGCCCGGCCCAGGTGAACCACCTAAGGCACTGCTCCCCCGCACCCAGCTGTGAGAAACAGCAGAGGGGGTCGCCATTTCCCCGCTCTGGCCACGCCCCCACATACAGCGTCACAACCCAGTGACCTGGGAATCCAAGGCGCCGGCTTCTCACACTTAAAGGGCCAGAACAGACCAAAAATGGCACAGGAGGATCTCAGAGCCCCAGAGCCAATAAATCTAAGCGATGAAGAAATAGCAAAACTCACAGACGCACAGTTTAAAACATTGGTGATCAGGATCCTCACAGAACTGGTTGATTATACCCACAAATTAGACAAATATATGAAGGCGAAACTAATTGAAATGAATGGAATTGCACAGGGCACCAATAGCAATGAAAAGGAAACTGGGACTCAAATCAATGGAGTGGACCAGAAGAAAGCAAATAATGGCCAAACAGAAAAGAGTCAAGAAGCAAGAATTCAAAGAAATGAGGAGAGTCTTAGGAACCTCCAGGACATCTTTAAATGCTCCAACATCCGAATTATAGGGGTACCAGAAGGGAGAAAGGCACAGCCACCAGTGGAAAACTTATTTGAACAAATAATAAAGGAGAATTTCCCCAATCTGGCAAAGGAAATAGACTTCCAGGAAATCCAGGAACCTCAGAGAGTCCCAAAGAAGTTGGACCCAAGAAGGAACACACCAAGGCACATCGTAATTACATTAGCCAAGATTAAAATGAAGGAGAGAATCCTAGAAGCAGCAAGAGCTAAGGGGGCAGTCACCTACAAAGGAGTCCCCATCAGACTGTCAGCAGATTTCTCAAAAGAGACCTTACAGGCAAGAAGGGGCTGGAAAGAAATATTCCAAGTCATGAAATCTAAAGACCTACAACCAAGATTGCTCTACCCAGCAAAACTTTCATTTAGAACGGAAGGACAGATAAGGTGCTTCTCAGATAAGATCAAATTCAAGGAGTTCATCATCACCAAGCCCTTATTATATGAAATGTTAAAGGGACTTATCTAAGAAAAAGAAGTTAAAGAAACATGAACAGTGAAAGGACAACAAACTCACAGTTATTAACAACCACACCTAAAACGAAAGCAAACTAAAAGGACAGCTAGATCAGGAGTGGAAACATAGAAATGAAGATCTCAAGGAGGGTTAGCAACAGGGGAGTGGGAGGAGGAGAAGGGGGGAGAAGGTACAGAAAATAAGTAGCATAGACAGTAGATAGAAAATAGATGGGGGGGGGGCAAGAATAGCATGGGAAATATAGAATCTAAAGGACTTGAGACACATGGTCATAAACTAAAGGGTGGGTGATGGTGGGGATGGAGGGTAGGGTGGAGGGGAATAAAGGGGGAATAGAACAACTGTAACAGCATAATCAATAAAAATTAAAAAAAATTAAAAAAAAAACACAATGATCAATGAATGGAACACAGCAAAAACAGTTCTATGAGAGAAATTCATAACACAGGCCTATCTCAAGAAACAAGAATAATCTCAAACAACCTAATCTTACATTTAAAGGAACTAGAAAAAAAACAAAGCACAAACTGAGTGGAAAGGAAGAAATAATGAAGACCAGAGCAGAAATAAATGAAATAGACACTTGAAAAAAACAATAAAACAGATCAATGAAACTAAGAGATGGTTCTTTGCAAAGATAAACAAAACTGATAAACCTTTAGCCCGATTCATCAGAGAAGAGACAGGATCTAAGTAAATTAAAACCAGAAAATGAAAAAGAAGTGATAACCAACACCAGAGAAATACAAACAATTATGAGAATATAATAAACAATTATGTGCCAACAAATTGAAAAACCTAGAAGAAATTAATGTATTCCTACAAGCATGTCATCTTCCAAAACTGAATCAGAAACTGACAAAAATCTGAACAGACTGATTACTAGTAACAAAGTTAATTGGTAATCAAAAAATTCCATACCAACAGAAGTCCAGGATCAGGTATCTTCACAGGTAAATTTTACCAAACATTCAAAGAATAATTAATACCTATATTTCTCAAATGGGAAATAAATGGTAATGGGAAAAATACAATAAAAAATAAAATAAAATGCCCTGACTGGTGTGGCTCAGTGGGTTGGGCATCATCCCTCAAACCAAAAGGTCCCCAGTTTGATTCCTTGTCAGGGCACATACCTCAGTTGTGGGTCAGGTCCCTGGTTGGGGGCATGAGAGAGACAACCAATCTATGTTTCTCACACACATGAATGTTTCCTCTCTCTCTCTTTCTTCCTCCCTTTCCCTCTCTCTAAAAATAAAGAAATAAAATCTCTAAAAAATAATAAAACAAAATGATAGCTGACAATGTTACTATATATACATTTATGTAAAATAAATGTATATAATACTGCCCAAAATGATCACTATATGTATGCTTTATATGCCCATACTTACCTTCACATTTTTCAAGAATCTGGACTGTTTCTCCTATTTCTAAGACCAACCCTTGAGGGACAGATCCTCGAAAACTGCATATCACTAGAAAAACAAATATAAACATATCAATTAGCATTTTTAAACACTGAGACAATATCAGTGTCCCTGAAATTAAGCACTAAATTTTCTTAAATATATACACTCTCCCTTCTTCATTAATTCACATCTCAAATATGTGAGCCCCATTCAATGTACTCAATATTTTGAAAGATATTGTTCACTAGATCAGGACACTGAAGCACATTTTGCAGAATCACTGTTCCTGAGCAGTGTATGAACGTGCGTGAAAAGACTTCTGTAAGGAGAGTCTCTCTCTCATCCTCAGCGTGACTTGTTTGTCCTTTTTGTGCAAGTATGTAGCAATTACTTCAGAAAATATTAACAGTGGAAGCTTCTTATCTACTATAAACAAATATTTTATAAAGAATCGCCAAATAAATATGATTATGCTTTGAGAAACAAAGTCCTCATAAAATGAAAACAGAAATTAAAATAAAAGCAAATGTATAACATAAAATCTATAGATACCAATCAAAACCCTGTCTTTTCTTAGAAAACTGAAAAACTGATCCTAAAATTTATGACTACAAAGAATCAAAAATAGCCTTATAAATATTAAAGGACTTACATTACCATATATCAAGATTTTTAATTGAAAATTGGTTCTCTGAAAACACTAACATTGATAGCCACCTAAGCAAGACTGATCAGGAAACAAAATAAGTATTAGCAACCAAAATTAAAAACATTAATGTTATTAACAATTGAATTACATATAAAGTGATATTGCAGAAAATTTTATACCAGCAGATTTGAACATTCATAATAGACAAATTTACAGAAAAATAAAACATATTAAAAACTGACAGAGATGTTAAAAACTTAAACAGTCCTATGTCTATTAGAGAAAAGTATCTGTAACTCCTGCAAATGAAATACAAGTTCCTGATTACAGTAAATTTATCCAAACATTTGAGAAAAAACACTAATCATAAAGAAAATCTTTCAGAGAATAGGGAAAAGGGGATTCATTCTAAATTAGGAATGACAGTGAAACCTGACAAGGACATTATAAAAAAGGAATGATACAAGCCAATATCTCTCGTGATCATAGATGCAAAAAAATTTTTTCAATTAAAAATAAATAAAATCCAACCACATATGTTATGACCAACCTGGGTTTATGCCAGGAATGCATGATTGATTTAATATTAGCAAATCAATAAAGGAAAAAAATCACATTATCACCTCTATAAATGCAAAAGAGGAATTTAATAAAATTCAATGCTCACTCATGACTAAAATTTTTAACAAACTAAGAACAGAAAGAAACTTCCTTAATCTGATAAAGGTTACGTTTCTATAGCAAACATCATACATTATGGTTAAATACCATTTTATCACTAAGGTTAGGAACAAGAACAGGAAGTCCACTACCATTTCTACTCAACATTGCAATGGAGAGGCAATAGTGCAAACACAGCAGAAAAGGAAATAAAAGGCACATATAATGATTAGAAACAAAGAAATAAAAGTGTCATTATCTCCAGGTCTGAACACATACATTAAAAATCCAAAAGAACCTAGACCTAATCTGTTACAAAAAATAGGTAAATAAAGGTCACTAGATACAAAGTGAATGTTTCTCTTCCACCCTTTTCCTCTCTCTAAAAATAAAGAAATAAAATCTTTAAAAACTAATAAAACAAAATGATTGCTGATAATGTTACCAAGGTCACTAGATAACAAGGTGAATTTTTTAAGTCTATGTAGGAACAAACAATTAGAAAAGGAAGTGTTTTAGAAACATTATTTATAACAACAGTATTTAAAATGCCAAGTAATTTCTTCAAATAACATTAATACAAAAAAATATATGCACCCCTATGTTTATAGCAGCACTATTTACAACTACCAACATCTGGAAACATCCTAAGTGCCCATCAGTATGTGAGTGGATAAAAAATGCTGTGATACATTTACACAATGGAATAGTTCACAGCAGTGAAAATGAAAAGCTCACACATTTTGTAACAGCAATGGATAGACCTGGAGAGCATTACGTTAAATGAATCAAGCCAATCAGTGAAAGAAAACATACCATATGATCTCACTTATATGCAGAATATAATGAACACAATAAACCAGTGAACAAAACACCATAGTAACAGAAGTTTAGACATGTAAAAGAGACAGCTACTGGAAAGTGGGGGGTTGGGGGAATGAGATGAAAGATGGTGAAGGGTATAACCACAGAACATTTATGCACAACCCAGGGACACAGACAATATGGGGACTGGCTTCGGGAAAAGAGAGGGCAGAGCTGGGCAAAACTGAGGAGAGGCTTAGGAACCTCTGGGATGACTCTCAGCTCCCTAATATAAGAACAGGGGTGCCAGAAGGAGAAGAGGAAGAGCAAGAAATAGAAAACGTATTTGAACAAATAATGAAGTAAAACTTCCCTAATCTGGTGAAGGAAATAGACTTCCAGTTAGTCCTGGAAACACAGACAGCCCCAAAGAAATTGGACCCTAGGAGGAACACAGCAAGTCACATCATAATTCCATTATCCAAGATTAAAGATAAAGAGAATATTAAAAGCAGCAAGAGAAAAGGAGACAGTTACCTACAAAGGAGTGCCCATAAGACTCTCAGCTGATTTCTCAAAAGAAACCTTAAAGGCAAGAAAGGGCTGGAAAGAAGTATGCGAAGTCATGAAAGGCAAGGACCTACATCCAAGATTACTCTACCCAGCAAAGCTATCATTTAGAATGGAAGGGCAGATAAAGTGCTTCCCAGACAAGGTCAAGTCAAAGGAGTTCATCATCACCAAGCCCTTTTTATGTGAAATATTAAATGAACTTAGATCTAAGAAGTAGAAGAAGATCAAAAACTATGAATAGTAAAATGACAACTAACTCACAACTATCAACAACGGAACCTAAAAAAAAACAAAAACAAAAACTCAACAAACAACTAGAACAGGAACAGAATCAGAGAAATGGACATCACATGGAGGGTTTTCAGTGGGGAGGGGGAGAAGATGAATGGGGGAAGATACAGGGAATAAGAAGCATAATTGGCAGGTATAAAATAGACGGAGAGAGGTTAAGAATGGTATAGGAAACAGATTAGTCAAAGAAGTTATATGTATGACCCATGGACATGAACTAAACAGGGGGAATGCTGGAGGACTGAGGGTGAAGGGGGGATAAAAGGGAAAAATTAGAAAAACTGTAATAGCATAATCAATAAAATATACTTAAAAATAAAAACAAGTAAAACTGAAAATTAGAATACATTACAAATTTCATATTCATTAGATGGGTTCAACAAGAGAATGAACAGAGCTGAAGAAAGTAATGAGTGAATTCAAACACAGGACAATAGAAATTACCCCAACAAAACTACAAAAATAAAAAATAATGGAGACTTCCGCCAAGATGGAGGCATAGCTGGATGTGCCATGCCTTCTCACACAACCAAGTTTAGAGACAACTAAATATTAGCAACAGAAAACACAGCCAGAACACGGAAAATTGAACTTTTTGGAAGTCCGTTAACAACAAATTCTTCAGCCTGACCGGTAAGGGGCAAAACCAGCGGCTGGTGAAGCGGGGTTGCACAGGAGGACTCGGTCAACGGACTCAGGCGCGGAATCCAGGCGCGCAGAGTCCAGGCTCGCCCCGGAATCCAGGCGCAGGGTTGGACCTAGTGAGCGACCAAGCAAGTGACCAGGCGAGCGACCATGGGGGAGACAGCGGAGGAGAGGTGCTGCGTGTTGACTGTGGATGCCCATTCGTGCTTGGGTGGACAGGTGAGGGAGTTTGCGGTTGGACCGGGCCCGGCAGTGGAGGGCGCTGCCATTTCCCTGCTCTGACCCCACCTCCACATACAGCGTCATAACCCAGCGACTCTGAGTGGCCCGGCCCAGGTGAACCACCTAAGGCACTGCTCCTCACCCAGCTGCGAGAAACAGCAGAGGGGGTCGCCATTTCCCCACTCTGACCACGCCCCCACACGCAGCGTCACAACCCAGCAACCTGGGAGTCCAAGGCACTGCTTCTCACACTTAAAGGGCCAGAACAGACCAAAAATGGCACAGGAAGATCTCAAAGCCCCAGAGCCTATAGATCTAAGCGATGAAGAAGTAGCAAAACTCTCCGATGCACAGTTTAAAACACTGGTGATCAGGATCCTCACAGAACTGGTTGATTATACCCACAAATTAGACAAATATATGAAGGCGAAACTAATTGAAATGAATGGAATTGCACAGGGCACCAATAGCAATGAAAAGGAAACTGGGACTCAAATCAATGGAGTGGACCAGAAGAAAGCAAATAATGGCCAAACAGAAAAGAGTCAAGAAGCAAGAATTCAAAGAAATGAGGAGAGTCTTAGGAACCTCCAGGACATCTTTAAACGCTCCAACATCCGAATTATAGGGGTACCAGAAGGGGGAAAGGCACAGCCACCAGTGGAAAACTTATTTGAACAAATAATAAAGGAGAATTTCCCCAATCTGGCAAAGGAAATAGACTTCCAGGAAATCCAGGAACCTCAGAGAGTCCCAAAGAAGTTGGACCCAAGAAGGAACACACCAAGGCACATCATCATTACATTAGCCAAAATTAAAATGAAGGAGAGAATCCTAGAAGCAGCAAGAGCTAAGGGGACAGTCACCTACAAAGGAGTCCCCATCAGACTGTCAGCTGATTTCTCAAAAGAGACCTTACAGGCAAGAAGGGGCTGGAAAGAAGTATTCCAAGTCATGAAATCCAAAGACCTACATCCAAGATTGCTCTATCCAGCAAAACTTTCATTTAGAATGGAAGGACAGATAAAGTGCTTCTCAGATAAGATCAAATTCAAGGAGTTCATCATCACCAAGCCCTTATTATATGAAATGTTAAAGGGACTTATCTAAGAAAAAGAAGTTAAAGAAACATGAACAGTGAAAGGACAACAAACTCACAGTTATTAACAACCACACCTAAAACGAAAGCAAACTAAAAGGACAGCTAGATCAGGAGTGGAAA